GAGACCCGCCAAGTACATGCGTGAGCACCGATCGTGACGCATACTCGTCGAGTCAGGCTTCGCTCACCTTCTCTTCTCTCCACGTCCACCGGAATTCGGAATCGAAATTGCGGTAGTTTTCCCAGGTTGTTGGAGGCTGGAAATGCTGCGCTTTGACCGGGTCATCAAGCACTGATCGTTGGGTGGCGATAGTGTCGAGATCCTTGATCTGATTTCTTTTTTTGTTTTGCGGCAGGAAAAGATCCACCAGACGTGGCGGTTCTAAACCCTCCACCGCCAAATTCTTGCCGGACGGTGGACTGAAGGAAGGCGTCTCTGAACCCGAAAGGGTAAGCTCTCCGTCGCTATTGATCGTCTTGCGGCCAGACTCGTCTTGCTTCTCGCTCGCGATGCTTGAAGAGTCTGAAGTGGGCACGACTGCACCGGGATGTGGAGGCAAGACGGGCACGCCGGGTCCGATCTCTGCAACAATTGGCGCGACCATACCGACTGATCACCCAGATCTGGGGCGTGTGACGTCGGGTGAGATGGGGTGAGATGGTGGAAGAATTTAGATTGTACGAGCGGTTGTTAGTCCAGTTGCCCCGGGGAAGTGTTGGCGCTCAAGTACCGACTGAAGGCGGTATATATGGGAGGCTGACAGGTTGCTGCCCTTTGACCTCATCCACCGTTAAGGTGTCACGACAAATTTACGGCTACTCGCAGCCGTGCCTTTGATTGCAAACGCAAGCGATCAGTGCACAAAGCGAGTGTTGTGAACCAGACTACGCCAGGTCCAAACACATCGAAGTGGACTTGCCATGCCATGCGTTGCTTTGAAATCTAGGAACGCAAGCCGTGCCCAACGAGGGCAATCGCCGCGTGAGAGTGTGGGCGAATGTGGCGCATAGCGACACCAGCTGGGAGGACCCGCACTTGCAGAGGAGTGGGCGCGAGACAGATGATCACGAATCGCTCAGCCACTCACTCTTGTCAAGTGTGCATAGGTTTGGACCGATAACAGGTCGCGTGCTATCGAGCCCTGCTTGCTCATCCATCTCATTTTCGAATTCATCATCGTGCCTCGGCTCGACCGACGCTGCAAGCACGAAGAGGGCGGGAGCTAGGGCCAAGCAGAGTAAGCGTTCCTGAAGGTGGGGCGAGGTCCGATGCAGCAGCAGCTTGCGGTGAGCAGATGGAGGCCAATCATCCTGCGACTTAGCTGCCGCAGTGATCTCGGCAGTATGCTACGCTCTCCATCACACCATCGGCCCGCACACCAGCGTCGGACTAGGCGCGCACAGAAGGACAGCGGACGAGACCAGATGTGTGTTGATGGAGCGTCTGCCAAAGCCAAAAGGAGCAAGAAGCGTGTCAAACCGCCTTTTGACCCAGGCGGACATTATCAAATCAGGCGGCAGGCCAAGAAGAAGCTAAGCTGAGTGATTGTGCTTGTTGCATGGAGATGCCGAAGCTCGTGATTCGTGATTGACTCGACCGTCGGCGGGCGTGCCGATGCTCTTGATTGATTGCAAACGGCGAATTTTGTTGGAGGAGTCCATCAAAGCGGTCCCATGCTCGAGCTCGATCGAGCCGCCTATGTCGTCTTGCCTGCGGCTGCACGCTGAAGGCACCCATGCTGCTGGCCGCGGGTCGAAGCGCTGGGTTCGGCTTGCTTCGCTCTTCGTCCCACGGCTGCCATGCTGCAACGGCGGCTCAGCTAGCTGTCATACAGTAGACCTCATACTCAATGACTGTATCATCGGCACAAGGTACGGTGTGCTGAACATGCAAGTTGCGCGTGTGTGCCGAAGTCGCCATGATGGGCGGTGTATGCTAAGCTGTGCTGGTGTGTCGCGCTAAGCAAGGCGAATCCGAATGTCGCAATCGTGAGCCACGGGCGTTGGGATGGCGTGCTTCTGCTTCTATCGAGCCAGCACACATATCACGCCCATCCATTAAGCGGGTGCTGCCGAGTCGACGAGGCTACTTCAGTCACGTGCTCACCAAATGTCAAAGGCTGGGAAAGGATTATTCTCGAAGATTGGGCGGCCTTTCTTGCCTAGCTCCCGCCGACGCAAGTCACGACTTGCATCTGCGCGAATGAGCTTCAAATGCTTGCTGGCCGAAGTCGGATTCACGATTCTGATTGTTGGGGCGCGAGGAGGGATGATGCGCTCTGGAAAGCGGCTTCCCTTCCGACAAGCGACGGAGGCGCGTCATGCATGCATGTACACACGCATCATGCTTGTATACAGTAGATGCAGCATAAGCAGCTGCTACGTGCGCGTGCTGCTTCTGTGGTGTGTGTGTGTTGCACCCACGATCTTCCACACACGCACAGATCAGCGGGCAGATGCGATCTGCTTTGCGTAGCGAGCCATGCGAAGTCGGGCAACCATACAGAATCGCGAATCAGCAGCATCCAGACGTCAGGCGTTCAGCTCACTCCATCCATCCATCCAACCAGTCATCCATCCATCCATCCAGTCATCCACCCACCACAGCCTGCTATCCCGGCCCAGACGTGACGTGACGCCGACACTGCGCGTGATCGAAGATGACCTTAGACCTGGCCGAGTGGGCGACGCCCTACGCTATTCAAGCAGGTCTGCCGCTCCTGCCTGCCCACCTGAGCACCATCATCCGGAGTCTCGCGCTGTGGACAACCTTGCAGCTCCTTTCTTCCCTCGTCTCTCCCTACATCTTCCCCGACACATACCCCAAACTCAAGAGGAGCACCAGGATATCTTGGGATGTTCACTTTGTCGCTTTGGTGCACGCAGCCATCATCACCCCGCTCTGCGGAAAAGTGTGGTGGGATGTATACCAGCAGGGCGGCCTGAACGGCACTCACCCCTTGGCGCTGAGGAGGGTGTATGGATACACTTTCGAGGCCGGCCAAGTCTATGCCATCGCCATCGGCTACTTCATTTGGGACACTGTCGTCTCCATCCTCTTCGATGGACCGGCCTTCGTAGCCCACGGAGTCGTCGCGCTCACCGCATTTGTACTTGTCTATGTGAGTCGGCAATGCAGTCGATTCACGACTCGGAGCGCTGTCCGGGCCAGGCAAGGAGCAGGTGCATAGGATCTTTGCTGGCAATGCATGGAGAGCGTCGAGCGCCGCTCGTGTGCTCGCGCGTGCTCGTGCTCGTGCGCGAATCGAAGACGATCAGCGCATGTATTCTGTCTGTCCACGCAGCCAACCGGAAGACAGCTGGGAATCGATATCAGCCTAATGTGCGCGCTTCATCACTGTGGCGCTGATGGATTGCCTTTGCCAACATTTGCTTTGTGCAGCACCCAATCTTCATGTATGATGGATTAGGCTTTCTCCTGTGGGAGCTCAGCACACGTGAGTTTCGACCCAGGCTTCTGCATTGCAGCTGTCAGATCGCTCAAGCAGAGCGCCAATCCTGGAAATCTTGCAACAGCTTTCCTCAACATCCACTGGTTCCTAGACAAGCTCGGCAAGACCGGAAGCAAGATCCAGCTCATCAACGCCGTTTTCTTGCTGTCCACTTACGTGATCGCTCGCTTGACGTTTGGCGTTTACAACGTGAGCTTCATGGAGGTTCTGTCAATGCCGAATGTGCTCACAAAATTAGCGTCGTACCCTCATCTCTCTAGTCCTACTCGTGGTTCATGAATGTCAACTTCCCTGCCACGCCGCACGTGCCGCCCATTCCAATCTCTTACCGGGTCTTTTACACCCTCGGCAACATCACCCTGAACAGCCTGAATTTTATCTGGTTTAGAGCGTGAGTCTTATTGCCCTCGCAAGCTAAGGGGTTTGCTTCACTGACCCGCTTTCGTCCTCACATCACACAGCATGATTCGCGCAGTGCAAAAACGATTCACAGCCGCACCGGCTGACGGGTCCAACAAACTCGACGCCAAAGCGATTGCTGAGGGCAAACAGAGCGTTCAGGTCGGAGTGACTGGCAAGGACGATTCGCAATTTGAGAGGGAGGCCGGTGTCGGAAAGTATTCTCGGCCCGACATTGGTAGCTATGGTGGAGAGAGGGAAGCTAGATGGCGCAAGGTTGCCAAATCGGCCGAATAAGCTTGAGCCCAGCCCGTCGTCGATCCTGCAACCATCTAGACTCCGAGCCACCGCACCGCACGTGCTTTCGCGGAGGGCGTCGTTTCGGGTCCAGCTCCAACAGACATCCATCTCCCTTTTGATGCGCAAACGACAGTGCGGCACAATTCGGCCTCATATCCGCTTCCACATTCATGGAATTCATTGCAATTGGCATTCACGCTCGCGGGCTTACAATGAGTGCCTAGTCCAAACGAAACGTGCAGGTCCGCATCGAGGAGCCGCTTAGAAATGGTCAGCGCGCTTCAGAGCAATGAAAAGTCGTGCTTGAAGCCAGCTCTGAGCGTCTTTTGGTATGCTGGTCTAGACTCGAGGCGTTTGAGCCACGCATCTATAGCGTGCCATTTCTGGTTAGCCGTGCCAATCTGCTTGAACAAGACGTACTCGACGCTGAAAGCGACTGCAATATCTCTTCAGTCGTGAGCGTCAAGGTGAGGGGGTGAGGGATTGGTTAGCGCGTCAGACTGCAGAGCAAGAGGGCGGGGGCAGGATGGATGCTCTTGCTACCTACGCAGCGGTGATATCGTTGCCGTACAGGTAACCAGATCTGTTTGCAACTAGTTCGCTTTCGACGTAGTCAAGATCCTTGACCACATTTCCGCCCAGCTTCGGGCCGAGCTCTTTGGCAGTGTCCTCGTCTGCGAACCATTGGACGTAAATGATTGGCAGAGCGTGCTGGAGCAAATATCGCGAGCGCAAGTGCGGCGCATTTCGCAATGCAAGACGCAAGCGTTGTCAGCGCATGGTCACTACGTAAAAGCTGATCCTTGCTTTTGCTCACCGTCATCAGAGTCTCGGCAAACCCGATCCAGCCTCTGACTGCTGTGCGACCTTTCCAGTCTGGCGAGTTGGGTATCCAGCTGGCACCTTTTGAGGAAGCGTACTTCTCTACGAGGTATCTGTGCATGTCCGTCGCAAGCACCGATGCGGCGTGTTGTAGACGGGGCATTGCGTTGAGCAGCATTGAGAGCGGGAAAGGAGAAAGAGGTGGTCTTGCATCCAAGAGCTCAGCGACTCACTCCATGCAGTTGCCGCTCTCAACGACGAGCAGATCATCGTCCTCGATACAAGGACTTTTGCCCAATTTGAACCTGCTTTGCTCCTTCATCTTGGGATCTGCACCTTTTCCATCGATCCGAGCATAGCTCTTTACGTCCAGCTCGATATCGAGCTCATTGGCAAGCCAAAGGACTCGGAAAGCTCTCGAGTTGTCCAGCGCGTGCAGGATTGGTGTCATTGTATTCAGAGCTCGTACAGGGAGTACTTTGCCCCAAGAAGTCTGATTGGTAGAAAATGGTTCTCGTGGTCAAAAGAGATTGCTACGGGGCGAGCGAGTGTTGCTTCGAGTGAATGTGAATGCATCTGCGTCAAGGCTGCGAATGGATCAGAGTAGTGGGTTGTTGCGCTGCGCTCCGATGAGCGGTGAGCCCCGCACGGTTTCTCCGTGACCCACGCAGGTGGAGGCCCGGCTGGCTGGCATCGGCTAGGT